TATTTGTGCTGCTCTTTTATTTTTAAGTGCTGCAGCAAGGGTTAAAATACCCTGTGTTGACAGCACCTTAAAGTCTATTGCTCTCACACACAAGCAGTGGCTCAACTTTCCCCATGAACGCTAATCTAATCAACAGTGCTGCTCAGGGAGCTAGGGCACTATTGCTTGGAGCAGTGTGCAGAGCGATGCTCAGACTTTTGAAGACCCAGGCCGCTGCTTATGTATGAGAGCCACGGTCCAACTATTCAAGGTGCTGGCAACAACTGCATTTTAATCCTTGCTCCAGCACTTTGGAAGTAAAAAAATCTAATAAAGCAATGTATTTATTACTGCATAAAGAGCCTGTAAATAACTATTCCAATAGAAGGTTAACTGGCATTACCTCTTCAAGCCACTTTTACATCCTTTTCTGTTCAGAAGGGTCAGAAACCTGATCTTGGGAACTCTGACTCACTGATAGCTTGAGGCACCATCACAGGGGGAGCTTCTACCCAAGATGGGCCACTGACACAGAGGTTGACCAAGGCAACTGTCCTCAACTCCCATTGTGATACAAGGACCCACACACCCCTGGTCCCTGAGTAGCAGAGCCAGATAACCTCAAGTATCACACCAAGCCCATGTCATCTCTCTTCTTGCCCATTCTTAGTTTGAAAGAGAGAATGTCTGAACTGGATTAACGTTTCATAACAAAAATAAGTATTTACTATGGATGCTTAAGAAAAATACAGAAAACCAAAAACAGGAATAAATCCTTTTAAGCAGTGTTCATGTCTCCATGACAGCAGTTAACAAGTCTCTAGAACAGAGTTTGTTCTCCTCACACAGAAGCTACAATCCTTGTCTCCATAAGGTTTAGACTTGTTCCACACCCAAAGGTAAGATCCTTGACCTAGGCTGTTCACATAATCCTTTGTATAATTTCTTCTTCCTGACTGGAGTTCCTCCTAACACTGTCTCCAGCCTAGCAACTAACCACACCGCCACTATACATACAATATATATACTGTATATCATCCATAACATTATGACAACCCGCCTAACCTTGAGTAGGTCCCCGTTTTGCCAGCACAACAGTCCTGACCCCATAGGTTCATGGACTTCACAAGACCTCTGAAGGTATGCTGTGTTATCTGGCATTAAGCCATCAGTAAATTAGTAGCAAGTCCGGTAAGTGGAGCCCCCATGGATCAGACTTGTTTTTCCAGCACATCCCACAAATGCTCGATTAAATTGAGATCTGCTCAAAAAGACCACTGCCATTAGGCAACACAGTTTCCATGAAAGGGTATACATGGTCAGTAATAGGGTTTAGGTAGGTGGTATTTGTCAAAGTAACATCATCCACCATAAATGTCAGGACCCAAGGTCTCCCAGCAGAACTTTACCCAAAGCATCCTGCTGCCTCTGACCCATAGTGCATCCTGGTGCCATCTCTTCCTCAGGTAATCAATACACACACACCCAGCCATCCACATGATGTAAAAGAAAACATGATTCATCAGACCAAGCCACCAAGCGTCTTCCTTTGCTCTGTGGTCCAGTTCTGATGTTCACATTGTAGGCACTTTTGGCAGTGGACATGGGTCAGCATGGTTATGCATACGCAACAAATTGCGATGCACTGTGTGTTTAGACACCTTTCTATCAGAACCAGCAGGAACTTTTTTTTAGCAATTTAAGCTACAGTAGCTCTTCTATTGCATTGGACTACAGGGACCAGTCCTTGCTCCCCAGGTGCATCAATGAGCCCTGGCTGTCCATGACCCTGTCACCGGTTCACTGGTATTCCTTCCTTGGATCACTGCAGACTGAGAAGATCCCACAAGAGCTGCAGTTTTGGAGTTGCTCTGACCCAGCCATCTAGCCATCCCAATTTGGCCCTTGTCAAAGTTGCTCAAATCCTTAAACTTGCCAATTTTGTCTGCTTCCAACACATCAACTTCAGGGACACAATATTCACTTGCTGCCTAATATATCCCACCCACTTCCAGGGGCTTCTTCGAAGCGTTGACAATAAAACGCTGATGCTCTGGATTATCTCAGTTGCAAGACATGAGTGGTCCTAGACCTACTTTGGAGTTGTGTGAATATTTTTCATGGATAGACTCTGGGCATTTACCTTACAAATAGACTGTGATGGCTACTTCTAGAAATATATATATATATATGTCCCCAGCCTTAATGACCTGAATGACAAGTAATAACCCCAGCAACAAAGGGGTGGGATGGACTGTTAAAAGGTCCAAACAGCCTGACTGTATTACAGTAATAAATACAGAGTGTCCAACTGGGCCTTAAAAGATCTGCCTATGTAATTATGGCCTCCTATCTATTTAGGCCCAGGGCAAATGCCCCTTCATTAATACATCCCTGATTACCGCCATATTTCCTTTCTGATCCTCTTAAATATTCTTATTACCTTGCATATTAGATATTAAAAAGAAACAAAGCAGTTGAACAGGAACTTATAAAAATTGGCCTGCAGACTTGAGTATATGTGTATATATTTTACAGACTTTATGTGATATTAATATTGCCGCTTTCACTGTTCAGATGCTACAAAGATTGGTGTGATTTTCAGATCAGAGAAAAAAAAAGCAGTAACATTTGCAAGCAATGACTTTCACAAATGCCCCTCTGTATGTCAACCTCCTCCCTTTCATATGCTGGCACAGTATTTATCAACCAGTCATACCTCTGGTATGCTTCTACCAGTAATTAGACTGTGGGTTCTACACACACAGACACACACATCTATGAGCTTGTGTGTTCCATGCACACCGTGTGTGTGTGTGTGTGTGTGTGTGTGTGTGTGTGTGTGTGTGTGTGTATGAGTATGTGTGTGAGTGATGTATGTGAACATGTGAGGGAGGGGGATGTGTGCGATGTGGGTGAGGGGTGATTTTATTGTAGCAGATTTTTGGCAAGTCTCCAAATCTCTTTCCTCCATACCTCTCACACATCTCTGTAGATGGGGAGCAGCAGAGATTCCCACTCTTTGTGGTGATCACACATAGGGAGCTGGGAGTCTGTGGACCAAACCCTCCCTGCCAGCTGGGAGAAACAGCACCTGATTCATTAACTCCTTCATTGACTAGACACTATGACTGGAGATGTCATGTCACTGGCAGTCCTAAAACAAAAGTACCCAATATGGGTACAACACAAGTATGTGTAAGTCAGGATCTCTTTATATACATATACAGTACATATCCAATGCTTATGTTCTACATTGTTTAAATGATTGGACACCCCAGGCCTGATCTGATAAAAGGAAACACAAGAGCAAAGAGAAATCGCTTTGAGGATAATGGATATGCGTGCCATGTGAATTTATCAGCATGCGATTACAATCCATTTACTGATATGATAAAGCGTACATTTATGTTCCATGGATGTGTTCAACTCCGAATTTGCAGTGTGCTAACAAAAATCCAAATAATACGGCTTTCTGCCTTATATTCAAATAAGATGCATAAAGAAATGTGTTTGTTAAAAAGATACAATGTGACCAGCACCATGATTGCTCAGTAAGGTATGATAAACAGAGGGACAGCTCCAAAAGTCCAGAGCGCCTTACTTTCAGATTAATAAGGCAGCATATGTATGGATATTTATCATTAGGACCTCCATTTGCAATCAGCACTGTATGAAATTGTGGATGTGGGCTTGCTGTGGTCAAAGCTTGCACTTTAGGACATATGAGCAATTTTTTTACAGTCCCCTTTAGCGAGATAAATATACACTTCATGCGGTCTTGCGCCTGCAGAAAAGGACCATGTCAAATAGGTAAAAGATGTCACATATTCCCAAAAATATTCATCAAAATGTATTTTCTTTGAGGTATATAACAAACCACAGTTGTTAGAGAATTTGTCACATGTTCACTGCAATTTGTGCACACGTACCCATGAACATCATGGGTGCATAGTAAATAATGTAAGGATATGAAAATGTTCTTCGCCACCACTCTAGACACCATTGATGCAATGCTGTAGAAAACTATGGTTTAATAAATCCTATATTTATATAATCCTCAATTATTGATTAAAGACATGGGTTGGTCTATCTGTGTCTATCTATCTATCTATCTATCTATCTATCTATCTATCTATCTATCTATCTATCTATCTATCTGGGTCAGTCTATGCATGTATGTATGTATGTATGTATGTATGTATGTATCTATCTGGGTCAGTGTATGTATGTATGTATGTATGTATCTATCTGGGTCAGTGTATGTATGTATGTATGTGTCTAAGTATTATCTATCTATCTATCTATCTATCTATCTATCTATCTATCTATCTGTCTGTCTGTCTATCTATCTATCTATCTATCTATCTAGCTAATACCTATCTGACTATTATATTTTGTCTATATGTCTATGTATTTATGTATGTATGAATGTATGTATCAATTTTTTATAATCTATCTATCTATCTATCTGTCAGGGGCCAGTCTACCTATCTATCTATCTATCTATCTATCTATCTATCTATCTATCTATTTATCTATCTATCTATCCATCCATCTGTTAATGAGCAATCCATTATAAATCCCTCCCCACCACAGAAAAATGCACATTTGCTTAGCATGGATATAATGAATCCACATACCCATGTCCTTTCTATTAAAGGCACCAAGCTGCGTTCTCACCCCTATTTTATTTCCCCCTAATAAAGAGAAGTCAGTTTCTGTGCTGTATCTTAAATAAGCCCCACTTTCCTCCCTTACATGGGCACTCAATCCCCCTCCCTGTAAATTGCCTATTTATAACTTCCCCATTCTCCCGTGTCTACTAATTTGGGCACACACCCTCTATCTTAAGTGGGCAAGTCAATGCGCCCCCCTTCTCGGTGTGTGTGCATACCTCTGCCCCATTTTGCAGTGCTTACACAGAACTGGAGACTGGAAGAATATATATTCCTCTCTTCTTTCTTTCTTTCTTTTTTTTTTTTTTTTTTTTTTAAAAGGGGCAAAGAGGTTAAGCCCCCCCCCCCTGGGACCCAAATCTCCCTCAATCCAACCGCACGTCAATCAGAGGCTCCCGTGTGATCGCTCCCGCGGATGACGTGCCAACCATATGGCCTGGCATCAGAGCTGGTACCATGACTCGGTAGACATGCCACCCTCTCCTCCTTTTGGATTGCACTCTGAAGGAGCCTGAGAACCTCAAGGAGACTCTTCTACTCCCAGAAGATGCTGCGAACCATGCCATAAATTTCTTTAGCGCCTTGCTCTGGAGGTAAGTTGGGAGCAGAGGAGGCTTCTCCAACTTGGAGAGAAGAAAGACTCAGAACCTTTTCCCCATTTCTTGTCATCCACCATCTACCTTCCTGAGGAGCACGGATGGGGCGCACCGCGGCTGTACTGGGGCTCCCGGGGATCTCATCCGCTTTATTCCTTTGCTGTTTATTCCTTTGCTGGGAGCCCACGGGATCTTCTCATACTTACCGACTGAATGATGGGGGGCTGCTGGCAAAGGCACCTCAGTGCCCCCAATACTGACCGGCAAATGACTTTATCATCTCTCTTCTTTATTCGCATAATAAAGATGAGATGAGATATACTGATTCTTAGAATATATATATATAGATCTATACATATAGATCTATATATATACACACACACACACACAAGACAATTTGTGTATTTTCGACCTGAGAAGGTTCCAGCAGTAATTTGAAGGACAATTGTCATTTGTTTTAAAGAATTAGATACAGATTTCCATAATTCAGAGAGACATTAGCTGGGATTAGAGGGTGCAGACTCTGTTATTTTTCTATAACATTTTATTTTGTCTTTTTGCATATTTTAGCCGTTCTGGGTTGTAGGCATTGTAGAGAAGTCGGTGTGCATAGTGTGTCTGTGGAGGAGTCTGTCAGTCTGTGTGCTCCCCACCTAACCAATATCGTATAGAAATGCCCCATCACGCCGTACAAACACAGGGGCAGGGAAATGGGGATCCTGTAATGAAATAATAATTGGATCTATCAACATTATTTGACAGGGTTTAATTTGGAACGGTAATGGCTAAATTGAAAGACAATTAATTCTAATCATGAAGACGGACTTGTTTTTATAGGGTTGGGGGTCTTATATCATATATTACTGTGTCTTCTTAGCACACAGATAACAGAATAGGCTGTGTTTATACAAAGGTATAGAATGGCACATAGAGAAGAGTCGAGGCAGCTGGGATATTTTGCAGCCTATTGATGATCAGAATCTTTAAAGGGACCTCCAGTTTGTGTATAAGGTATGCAAAGGAGACATGACAGTGGGCACTTGCGCTCTATAAGTACATATTAATGTATATTGCATTGTGCTATATTCGGTGTGATTTAGTATTTATCAAACTAATGATAAAATAATTTCCTAAATTAGAAAAATGCCACTTAATTATTTTGTCTTCCATTGATTAGTTACTAATGGCCAGCATGTCTTTATTTCATAGGCAGCCTTTACATAGTTATGCACGCTTTGCCCTGACACTTTCCATTCTTATATAATCCCTTTCGGTATGACATGTACATGTAATCACATTCCCATTGTTGTCATCCTGTCCTATAAAACACATTTAGGCATTCCTATGCCACCATGCCCTTTGCAATAGTCCACTGGCACAAATCAATTAGTATAATAGGACAAATGCAATGAAATGGTGGTACAATAGGCAATGTTTGGCTTCTGATCATGTTTCCTATGTATATTTATATGAGAGCACTGCATTGTGTAGCGAATGGTCGGTAAGTATTTTTTAATATACAAATATATAGCATTTATTATTTACGGATGCAAAAGGTGGACAGGTAGTTAGCCAGGAGACATATATTTATTATACCTACCCTACTAATATCGATAGAATTACTCTGCATAGTCCTACCATATGTTAAAACTACCTTTTAACTATTTGTTAACACTACTAACTCTAAGGCTGTGCTCATATCCAATGTGTCTTGATACTGGTGAGACTAGCTTGTGGCTTTGACGCTGTGTCTGTTCTGTCCCCAGCAATCATGTTGACCAGGCTGTTCAGCGACACCGGTCTGATTCCTGAGGTGCAGAAATTTGCCTCCTGGACCGATGACTGTGATGATGATGATGATGATGAGGACATCAGCGACAAGGACGAGAGAAGTGAGAAGAGCCTACAGGAGGTCCACACAGAGGGCTCTCTGAGTGAAAGCAAGGAGGATGGAGATATTGGTGGGGAAGACGATGAGGAGGAAGAGGAGGAAGAGGGGGCAGAGGAGAATGAGGGTGACAGGCCCAAAAAACGAGGGCCCAAAAAGAGAAAAATGACCAAGGCCAGGATGGAGAGGTCGAAGGTGAGAAGACAGAAGGCCAACGCGCGAGAGAGGAACCGCATGCACGACCTGAACTCAGCACTGGACAATCTCAGGAAGGTCGTTCCATGCTACTCCAAGACCCAGAAGCTGTCCAAGATCGAGACCCTCAGGCTTGCTAAGAACTACATCTGGGCCCTTTCTGAGATCTTAAGGTCTGGGAAAAGGCCTGATCTAGTCGCCTACGTGCAAACCTTGTGCAAGGGTCTCTCTCAGCCCACCACCAACCTCGTGGCTGGCTGTCTGCAGCTGAACTCCAGGAATTTCCTGACGGAGCAAGGTCAAGATGCTGGGAGGTATCATGGCCCCAATTCTTCTTTTGCCATGCACCCTTACAGTTACCAGTGCTCCCGGGTCTCAGGCTCTCAGTGTCAGTCTAGCTCAATGCCCAGCTCCCATGCCCTGCGGAGCCACGGCTACTGTGGCACATATGATTCCATCTATGGTAACGCATCTCCGGACTACAACAGCTCTGAGTATGATGCCCCCTTAAGCCCACCACTGTGCATTAATGGCAATTTCTCCCTCAAACAGGACTCATCCTCGGACAATGATAAAAACTACCACTACTCTATGCACTACTCCGGCCTTCCAGGCTCCAGGCCTTCCGGGCACGGCTTGCTGTTTGGATCTTCTGGGATGCGCAGTGGAGTGCACTCTGAGAACCTGTTGCCTTATGATATGCACGTCCACCACGATAGGGCCCCTATGTATGAAGAACTCAATGCGTTTTTCCATAACTGACCAATCCTGTTCTAACTTTTTCATGTGTCACTGACTGTACAACTTGTGCCAAGAAATTTGGAAGGGCCAGTGGGGTAACAGTGCCTGGTGAACAATCTTTCATGCAGCCAAATGTATGATGCTGGAACTTCTGTCCTATATTTGAGTTACATTTGGAGACCCAAGTGTTGTTCTTGATGACCCTGCCATCCTAGAGTCATTCGATTTGTTTAGAGGCCCTAGTGTAGACCACCCAGCAGATTGGGCCAAGGCACAGTTCTGAGTTTTGAAGGGTTAGTTTAATGTGCATAACTCAAACAGAAACATCATATGTTAGTTGTTCTGTAATTTATTGCATTGGAACAACGCACTTTCGACCCCAAAGCTTACGCATTGTGAGGCACATCCAAGCCCTTTCACCTGTTCACACCCATTCCATGAGGGTCTTAGATAACCTGCATTCCCGTCATGTTTGCACATAGAATGTAATCTGGGTTTAAGCACTTGTTTATATATGATAAACATCCTAGGCGTGTCCCCTTTGCCATACCTAGACGTATGGAAGCTATTACGCACTTAACAGAATTATTGGGTCCGCCCCCGAGATGCAATATGGAACCAATGCTTAAGTAATATTGCGCCTAATCATTTTGCTGTACCACAACACAGCTAAAAGTGAACCATTGTCTTTGTAGGTATAATTGTATTATCAACCAACACTTCAATAAATTA